TTATTACTTATATATGTATACTGAGGAAAGGAAAGAACACTTTCATAATTGTTGTGTTAAAGTGAATAATTTTTAAAAATTTTAACAAAAGCGAGAAACAAATTTCCTTGCCAACTTCCAAGCAACACTGTCCTTATGAGAGTGAGACCAAACTCCCTGTTTTGCTAGTAACCAGCGGAATTTCTCAATAAATGTGCGACGCGCAATTGCTCTCCCCACGAAAAAGCGATTGACATACATAGATTACCGCTCAATGCGCTGCTACTCGTCCTACTCGCATCGCTATTTAAGAACACTCACTCATGCTCACTTTTTATCTCACTACCATTGCTTGACTGAGTTAGTGAGTGAGTGAGAAATGCTCACTGGGTTACTCGGTACAAAGAGAATGGTAATGATAAACATTTACAATAGTACCTATAGCCAAGAAGAACATGTAGTGTAGACATACAGGAACACATACATATTGTACATATTTAATCACATGACTTGTATGACTCTTCTCTATGTTATAGTCAATTCATGCAGTAAGGCGCAAGCCACCCCCAACCATTTACATACATACATATACACACACTAATGCACATAGAATGGGTACATATTTAGTTAGTATATGCAGGCAATTATATGTACTATATGAGTTCCACCCCACTTTTAATGCTCTTACTAGCAAGTATGAGTAAGTGCCTCTTTTCCCACACCACAAAGTTCGTGGCAGCAGCAGTGGCAGGCAGTTCCCATCCTAGCAAGTGAAAAGTGAAACATTTCCCGTTTAGAGTGTAGTATGCATGAATGTACGCGTATTGCGCCTCATATGCGATTTCCACCCTCGAAATGGAAAACAGAAAAATAGCAAAAAGAAAAAAATACATCAATATGAAAGCAACAACAACACATAGGAACACAGCAATAATAAGGGGGATAAAAGCCAGTATCAGAATAGCGACGCCAGCTAAAGTTACTGGTACCACCGAACAAATTATACCACCCACGAAATACATAAATTTCATAAAACCAAATTCGCTTGATTTCGACTAAACGAACAATCCTGTTGGCTCTTTCCAATAGATTTTGTCTCTTAACATTCGATTTTCGAGGGAATAAGAGATCGAATGGGGGAGATTTTTCGTAGGGAAAGCGACATATTGACATTTTTTTACCATTATTTTTTTTATAATTTAATTGTAATTTTTTTATAAAAAGATAGTTTATTCTTTAATATAACCCGTTTAAATCCAAGTTTAAATTTTTCTGCAACATTAAGATAAAAAAATTACAATTCATATAACAAAATTATCAACAAAAATATTACCAAAAATCAACAGTAAGCCTAGCTACTTCAAATTAAGAAGCTAGAAATTTTTACAAAAGTTGTTGATTTATTTTAATGTTGCGCAAATTTGGAAACTTAGATTTAAACGGTTTTTGTTAAAGAACAAACTATATTTTTATTAAAAATAATTTAAATTAAATATTAAAAAACTAGCAGTCAGAATTTTTCAATACTTCGGCAGCGTATAATTGTGATAAGCACTGTACAATACGTGCTGGGTTAGAAATAGAAAGAAGTATTGGACAATGACAAGCAGAAGAAGCGTTTAAGCAAAGCGAGCATTATTATCCATTTTAAGACTTTAGAAGTGTATTTAAAAACACTAAATAAAGTCCGTTTCAATCATAAAAATAAAATAAAAATCCAATCATTAATTTAGAAAAATTCCTTACTGCAATTTCTTACGGTATTCTACTCACTAATTCGACTTATTTTTTTACAAAGTCACTGAACAAAGGGCATAATAAATTAGTAGAAACATAGCAAATCAAGCTGACTCTGTTTCGTCAACCCGCCTTCCCTGTATCATACGTTAATTCTAGTTACCTCTGTGCCAGCAGTACTGCAAAGGCATTAGAAACAGAAAAGTGAGAGACGACACTAGGAAGGCAGCAAGAAAGTTGTGCCGTAAATCGCAGTAGGACATAGTGAATCAAAAAATTAGATACTTTGCCAAAACCAGTGCAGCTTTGGAACGCGTATCGGCTACTTACTACAATTTGTTAAGTTCTAAGACTGAAAATCAAAGAAATTTCCTTCCCAGACATTATAACTGCAAAATGCTAAGTTTTGTTCTCCAATATAAAAAGCACGCCGAGAGAGATACTGAATGCAATTTTATCTTCCCGATCGCTACTAAACTTCATTCATACATATAACACCGCTTGAAAAGTTCTTAGTCAAGGCAATGTGAGTTACTTGGAGGAGTGCGGAAGCTTTTGGCCGGGCAAAAGACAAAAACTTCTCTTTCGGGCTTTAATCAATCTTAGGAAATCCTAGATGTGAAAGCATGATAACTATGAGCATAGAAATGTTAATAAGGCCAGATGCTAACAAAATTTATTTTACCTCCTCGACGGTACAATTGCAACACGACGTCCTTAATAGAGCCCTTGATAAAAATTTACTAACCGGATTTTCGGTTAATCGAATAGTTGATTATCATTTTTGTCGGTTAATAGTCGAATGGCAGTTATTCGATTAACCGGTCGAATGGGACTAATCGTTCACTCTCGACTATCCGCTCACCATCGATTAGTCAGAAAATCGACTAACTGAAATTATTGGAATAGTGGAAATTGTCCAAATGAGCACCGGTCACACGAGGCTGCCACCTAACCTAATTGTTCACAATAAAATTATTGGTTTTAAGCGCGGTTGCCTTTTGTCAACAATGAAAGCGCGCGAAGTACGGTTTTTTCTTAACAGCGGTTGCTTGTCGGCTTGCAGGCAATGGCAAATCTCCGAGTGTATTTCTGCCATGAAAAACAGCTTCTCATTAAAATACAATCGCCATTCGGGGTCGGCGTAAAACTTTTTTAAAAACAGTTAATTCCTATTTTCATCCTTAGTTTTAACATTTTCTGCGCTGTTTTTACTTTTCTTTAATCTTTAAGTACTATAAATGGCGAACCCCCTGGGTTAAGGCCACAGATTTGTGCATTGAATGATGTTTGTTGAGTGTTTTAGGATTAATACCGAAGTAAAGTCAACTACATACAGATAGCGCTGAAATTCCTACAGATATGCTTTGCGCATGCAGACTTTATACAGGGTGAGCCAAATAATACCTACCAATGTTAAGTCCGTATAACTGTTGTCATAATTATCTATTTTAATAAATTTTTTTCTATCTTAAATGCATTTTATGGAAATTAAAACGTACAATATATGAAACATTACATCACACAAATGTCCACCCTTTGGGTCTTTTTAGTGCGTTTTCCATTACACAACGTAATGTTTATTATAACAGCCGCCGCATTTCGTCTCGAATATTTTGCTTCAGCTGTCTATGTAGCATTGCCCACATAAAAAAATTGAGCGCTGTTAAATCGAATAAGTGAACAAATTGGTCCAGGGAAATCTTAATTTTTTTTATCAAACGCTCTCCGAAAATTTTACGTAGTTGGTGGTCTGTCGGTAGCAATGTTAGCGCAATTTTGTATGAGTTCATCTTAAGAGAATTCGTCAATTGGCTGGAACGACGAGGAGTTTACCCAGATGGATCAGTTGCAATACTCTGCCGCACAGCTTCAGTGCGAATATTTTGATTAGAGCACCTCCTCCAGGACGGTCGGCCACTGAACCCCGTTGCTCAAAACTATCGACCAAACTCCCAATCATGAAGGCTGTGGGAGAAGATGTTACTATATGAGCAAATCTCACGAGTTGTTTTTTTTTTTGTCACTCCCTTCACTCGGCAGAAGAAAAAATACTAAAGGATTCTTCCTGCTTTTATTTCAATCAGTGGAGTTCCAGAAACATGCACAATAGAAAGTAAATCAAGTATTTTTAACAATTTTAGCTTTAAAACTTTATTTAGAGCGTAAGTGAGTCGGTAACAAAGTTCGCTGCGAGTAAATTTTTGACAAGTATGAGGTGAATAAAACTTAGGTAGCTCATAAGGCTAGTAAAATTTTTGACAAATGCAATTTTGACATTCGCAAAGATTGTTGATGTGTGTAATTTTTCGTTAAATAAAAGCTTAAATTGATGAATTGCAATCAATGAGGGTAGATGTTTTCTTAAAATATTAATTTCATTTCAATTTTTAATATTTTATCAAAAGTTTATTTCACACAGCAAATTGGCAAAACTGGCTCACCATAGTAAAAATATTATTCACCAGCTGTCCCCATAAAACTTTGTTACCGATTCACACGCGCCCTTAGCCGAAAAATACCGAAATTACCTATTTTATCATTGTCCCTCGAAAAAATCTATTTTTTTTTTTAATAAATTTGAAAATTTCCAAGAATTTAATTACAATCTACAAAAACAAAAATACAATTATATTCAAAAAAATATAAAACTTATTGTCCCACCCTGTACACTCGCACGCACCGACCCGTGCGCACATAGGTAAGCTGAGCAATCAATGTACCCACCCCCGAGGTGGCAACCCAACTTTCTCAGCTTTCAACACTATTTAAGTATACACTCTGGTGCATATTTTTGTTGCTATTGCAGCATATTGTTTTTGTTGATGTCGCCTGCTGTTGTTTGCTGCTGCTGATGGAAGCTTTTACTTAGTTTTCTAAAGTCGTTATTGGTAGTTGGTGTTGTTTTTAGTCTGCTACTTACTTACACTCCTTCGACTGCTTGGACTACTATGACAACTACATACTACTACAAACATACATACACACATATATAAGTACGTTAGTGGCTCATTGCGCTCATTGTGTTAGTGGAGTCGGCGTTGTCGTCGTGGTCGTCACTTTCTAAGGATACATAGAGAAAGAGTCTCATAGACGCGACCAAAGTCAATGACAATTTAGTATCAACATCACAGTTGCTAATTTAACTACACAAACGCTTGTAGCTCACAGAAATTGAAAGTTAAAAATACAATTTCTTTTCGCGTTGCAATTGCAGGGATATACATACATACATGTATGCACACATATGCATATCTATATATATATATTTTTTTTTGTGTGTTTCCTGCCTTCTAAACCACAACTGCACCATACACCCAACCACCCAACCACCCACCAACCCCACCACCGCATATTGGATTCAATTGGCAAGACCAACACCAGAAGTACAAATGCATGGACGAGGGGGGAGGGGGTGGAGTAGCGATACCAACAAACAGCAAGCAGTAACTCACCCTTAAATGGCTGAAACACCTCTGTAGAGGAGGTTAGCTGCTGCTTGCTGGCTCACAGCGTAGAATGAAAACTCGCGGATGGGCGGACGGACGAACGGACGAACGGCGGGCGGGCGAACAGTGGACGCATTAACTATTCTGAGTCGACAGTGAGACGGCTAACACATACACGCGCACGCACACATACATATGCATACACAGACGCACACACACACATATGTATATATATATTCATATGAGTGCATGTATGTATGCGTATGGTATATGATGTCTGTAGAGTCGCGTGGCCCATCCGCATAGCCGCTTTAGCAGCAGTAGTGTTAGTGGTGCCGTGATTAAATCATCGCCGCCACACTTTGCGCTCGCGAAAAACGAAAGTTAAGCTCTTCAATACTAGTCCACCAACCAGCCAGATGAAGTTATAGTGGGAATAATAGCAGAGTTGACGACGGTAGTAGTAGTCAGCAAAAAATAGCCATCTTGTCGTTGCCGTTGTCATTGTTAGCGCTGCGGTGCAGACAACGTTGGGACTAGTGAGTGAGTGAGTTTAGAAAAGGCAAGAAGACGACGCTTGCATATGTAGGGAAAATTTCTAAAGGATTGCATTAAAAGTGTAAAGTGAAACGCCTTAATTTTGCTAAAAAAAACTACAAAAAATAATAAATAACAAAAAATTTTAAATATTTTTTTAACTTATGTAAATCTAGCAAAAAAAACAAAACTCTTAAAACTCAGCCGTGCAAGTTGTGTAATTATTGAAACGTTAGCGAAGAAAAAGTGAAAAATTGTGCACAAAATAATTTACAAGCAAGTGAAAGACGGCGCGCAATAAGATAAGCAATACATGGAAGAAAAAGTGGCTACCAAATCGCCACCACCACCACCACCACCACCCAGTTTCCTGCCAAACTTTTCAGCGTGTTCTGCATGTCTTTGAAATTTTAAAAAACTAACCAAGTACTTAGTGCAGAAACAGTTATTAGTTGGTGACCGTTTTTTCACCATCCTTTTCTCTCCAACTCCCCTCGACGCCAACGTGTCATGATGAATTTCTCTGCGTTTGGTGGTCCGTTCTCCGGCATACATCAGTTTGCCGCAAAATTTGGCCACGACACACAAGGTCCTCCGGGCGCTTTTGCCACGCCCACCGGCATCAATGGCAATGCAGGCGGTGCATCGTTAGGCGATAATCATGTGCAACGCTATCAGACGAATGGCAATCATTTCAATCAGAATATACCAAATGGTGAGTACAAAAAAATAACGTTTTTTTTCTTTAATATTTGAAATATCTAAGTAGCTATAAAATGCAAAAATTTTTATTATAAAAGTAAGAATTCGTATTGAACACATTTGCATGTTAAGTGTCGTAGCGTAACTGTATATTTTCAGTACAAAAATTTTTAGGTTAACTACCGTATGTTAATTAATTCTGACAAAAGTCTTTTGAAAGACTAATTGACAGATCTACCAACGGGGTGGTCTGTGCGTCATTCTGTTTGTCTTTTAACAATAAATTTTCTAAAAATCAAACTAATTAAAAACTAGATATTTCTTCTTTTTTAAAATAATACAAAATATAAATTAAGAGAAAATAAAATTAATAAAAATAAAAAGTTAACTTTAAAAAGGGGCAAAAATAAATTAAATTAGTTTCGAACAAGTAAATGAAAGCTTAAAAAATTATGTTTATTTTTGGAATAAATAAATCTAAAAACTAAATTAAAAACAAAATAAATTACAAAAAAGAAAACAAGTTCATAAAAGTTTTATTTTTTTCTCTTTTTAATTTAATTATCCTTAAGTTTATAAATTTATTTATTTTAAGAATAAGCTATTTTTTTTAATTTCATTTACTTTTTGGAAACTTAGTTAATTTATTTTTGCTCTTTAAAAAATATATACATAATTTTCTTTTTAAAAGAATAAAATCTAAAAAATAAATGAAAATTACATTAAAAGAAAAACAAAATAAAATAACAAAGGTGAAAATTTTAAATGAAAAAACGTTGTGTTTTAAAACAATAAAATCTAAAAACTAAAAAAGAAATAAGTTATAAAGACAACAAAATCTATTCTAAAAGAATAAGATATACATACATAAAAAAAGTTTCTACATATTAAATTAAGCTACAAAAAATATTTTTCTTTTTAAAACAACGAAAACTAAAAATTTAAAAAAGATTAAATGAAAATGAATAAATGTATGTAGGTAATAAAAAAATCAACCAACACGAACACATAAAAAAATTAATTAATTAAATTTCTTAAATTAAATTAAATTTAAAAATATATACATATAATTGTTTTTTAAACAATTAAATCTAAAATTTAAGTTCAAAAAACAAAAAATAACGGAAAAACTAAGTTTCTAAAAATTTAAAGAAATTAAAAAATGTTTTCTTGAACAAAATCTAAAAATCGAATTAAAAAAGAAAAAATAAATAAATAAAAGCAGACAAAATACATAAAATATACTTCTAAAAAGTAAATGACACATTTTTTTCTTTTTAAAACAATAAAATCTTAAAACTAAATAAAAATAATTAATCAAATAAAGGGCAAAAAATCCGCTGCCGGATATACATACTCAAGTAGCGCACTGGTGTATAACTTGGAGTAAATTTGTGAATTTTGGTACAATTAATCGGATTTAAACAAAAATTCGTAACTTGAGTACATACATCTCCATTTAAAACATGCTAATGTGCTTTCTGTGAAAAAAAGCTTTTCGCCATTCAAATTGGCAAGGAGGCTTTGTTTTGTAAGATTTTCGTACCGGAATAAACAAAATTTAAAACAATCGTTGAATTTGGGTTTTGATTTATTTACAGCCAAATTTAATCGTTATTTTGTGACTTTTATGTAAAAAAGATCGTTACTTTTATATTTTTTTATCATTTTTAACTGTTATTAAAAAATGTTACCTAAAAAAATGTTTTGTAATATTACATTTATCGATAAAATAAAAATCCAAAAATAACGATTATTTGCATGGAAAAAATAAAACTCATAAAATGTCGAATATATTTTATCAAAAAAATAGAAATCCAATTTTAGAAGAAAAATTATGATTTTTATTACACACTTTTACACCTATTGAAATACCATTGCAAAAGTTGTAGTTTTATACATGCCTACAGTGCCTTAATGTTTGCAGTAGTTAATTGCAGATTTTATTTTTTTTTTTGCTCGAAAATGTGATCGACATTCGAGTTACATACATGACGAGGCATTAAATGTTGAAATTCTAGTTAAGTGGCGCATATAGCCAACAAAAACTAAAGCTGGCTATTTTATTATTGATTATTTTATTTTTATTTTTACTACCACTAAAAACGCAAACCACCACCACCACCACCACCCAGCGCAAACACACATGCATGTATGTATGTATGTATGTAAATATATTATAAACCTGCTGGTGTGCGCACTTATAAATTATGCTCTTGTTATATACGCTTTTCGTGCTTTTGACTCATTATCCAGCCACCCCCAGCCACTTTGAAAAATGAACTTAAAAAAAAAAACAACAACAAAGCACACAACTCCACCCTTAGTTGCAATTTAAAAAGTGCTTCTAGAAGCTAGAGTAGAAACTCGCACGCAAAATACGCGCATACACACGCGCATGCATACATACATACATACATACATATGTATGTACAAACAACCCCCTAATCCCGTGCATCCCCCCGCCCCCCCGCAAATACAACAATGCGGAAAAAGTACAGAAGTCAATCAAGTAGGTACATAGGTAGGCGCACAAGCGAGAGCATCCAGCGAGAGGTGGGTGGGGTTAGGCCCCACTGGAGTTTCCTCTCCACAAATTTCATAATTTCCACTCGCTGAGGTAGCAACACACCATTGTGGTGGCGACAGTAAAGTAAAATTCAACTTCAACTTCATTCGCTGCAAGGCCATTGCACTGCCATCACCATCGACCGACCGACCGACCACCGCCTTTGCTGACATCCCTGCACTCAACGTCGTGAGCAGCAGAAGAGTTGTGAGTGAGTGGTTGGATAAAGCGCTTTGTCGGCAAGGCGAAGCCGCTTTTGAAATTGCAATGAACTCAAATTCGCGCGGTGTTGCGCGAGTGCTTGCGCGCTCCCCTTAACACGCGACTCCACCCCGCACCAATCGCATACGCATGCACTTCAACCGGCTGGCTGTCCGCCCCTCTTTGCTACTGTCACACAATCTTCAAAGCCCCTTTATGCTGCTTCGCATTTACTTAACTTCATTTACTCACCCTTATTTTAGCGCAGGTTGTTGCCATCTGTTTGCCCATTCCCACCCAGTCAACGGATTTGCATTAGGCATTTGCTAAGGTAAGTTTGTAAGCATGGACTTTGTTGGCGTCTCCAATTACAATATTTGTGCAAACGCTTTTGGATCGCTTGCTTGTTCCATATTGTTGGGCGTTCTTTCACTTTTCACTTTTTTATCGCTTTAATTTTATCTGATCTCCTAACATTCGCTTTAAAAATCGCCCCCTATTCATTGAAATGCTAATCCACTTTCGAAGCCGCCTCCAAGTGAAAATATTCTGTTGTGAATGTAATTGGCAGGCAAGCGGCTCAAACACTTAATCTCCCTAAACTGTAATATTGGTGCCAAAAAAAAAAAACGTCCCGCGCGCTTAACCTCATACCCTACTTCCCTCCTACCACCGCTTTCGCTGCCATAACGCATCAGTGCCGTACGAGCGAGTCAAAAAGCCGCAGCATACAGCGCATTTCAGCCTAAAGTAAAGTCAGCATTCCAACCCGCCCCGCGGCAATCAGTCAATCACCTTCAATCATTCCAACATCAGTGCTGCGAATTCCCCTTGCACTTTCGCAATCCACAATTGCTTTCTCCCTATCACACAGAATATAGTTAGGGTTGAGTTGTGCGTTATGAAGGATGCTGTTATTTCATAATTTAATTCATTGTCATGACAGCGCTGTACGCACACCGGATATCAACACACATTCACACATGCGTAGCTTCGTTCTTACGTCCATTCTTCTTCTTGTCTTCCTTCCTTCTTTGGACACTTTGCAATTGCTCAGCTCAGCTTAGCTGTGAGTTCATTGATCTCGTGTTGCATGTGGCATATTGTCATACCATTCATTGCAGGTATTGAATAATAAATAATTTATGTGCTCTAATATGTATGTACATACATATGTGTGTATGTAGGTGTATCGCGATTTTTATTTATTTATTCCCGAGAGCAATGCAATTACTTGATGTGTTATTTCTAAGAAAAAAATCATTCAGAGGAGTTTGAGTGCAATTACTTACATAATTTCAATTAAGAGGGCAATAAAGCATTGGTGAACATTTTTGGGTAACAACAAGATAAATGGTTGACTAACATAGGTTAGGAATTTCCTTTTATCTTGGAAATTTTCTATCTGCCTTGCTAAGTTCCACTAATTATTCGTAGTCAGTGCAAAATACCATACGACACAGCGGTCCAAGTCAACTCCATCGTATAAAGAGCGTGAATTCTTCATTTATTTTTCTTCGATAGTCGTCTGCCCCATATGCCACATATGAAATTATGAGCTCCATGAGAGATTTGTAGTGTGATCTTCGGTTGATGGTATTTAAGTGAGCACAGCTTTTAAATTGTCTGTCGCAAGCATATTTGCAAGAGTTATCTTTAATTAATCTCCAGAACTCAAGTAGAACTTTTTAATGAGACCTTCTCTTTGGAAGTTGTATTAGAAGATCTTCCATTCGAAGGCAGATGAGGCGGTATGTTTCCAAAGTAGCGGAAGTCAAATAAAGTTTAAGCTTTTATCACAGTTAAATTTCAAGCTGAATCAGAAGCACTTGAAACTCCGGCCATTCCATACAAAAAAATAGTAAAGAATCGAAAACGGAAGACCTATCAGCACAAAATATCAGACATATGGGCTCTTTTTATACCCGAGCGCTGTTGTGCACAAGGGTATATTAACTTTGTTCACATAACGGTTGTTTGTAACAACCAAAACGAATCGAGATAGATATAGACAAATGTATACATAAATGGTCAGAATGAAGAGAGAAGTCCATCCGTGTGTCCCTGTACACGATAACTCGAGAAAAAATTGATATATCTCAAAATTACGAAATTGCGATATTTTAGTTTCTACTGAAGATTATTCACATAAAAGTGATATTTGCTACAACCTTTAGACGAAAAATAAGTATATTATAAATTTTTGAAAAATGAGCGTAGCCATGCCCACTTATGATTACATG